CACATTAAATAATATGAAGAAATATAACAAATTAAAAAAAAAAAAAAAAAAAAAAAAAAATGATATAGATAAAATTAATAAAAGATAAAAAATATAAATAATTTTAAAAAGAATAAAATAGAAAGAAATAAAAGACAAACAAAACAATATACCTTCATTGAATAAAAGTAGAAAAAAAAAAAAAAAAAATATTCAATGAAAGACAAATATCTATTTATAAATTTATCTTTTAAATTTTTTTTAATAAATCACTTAATAAAGTTGGCTTCCATTCATAATCTTCATAAATATATATAACGTTATTATTAATATATATAGAAAAATTATTAACAGAATAAACCAAATTACCATTAATTTTACGATCATTTTTTTGTAAAAATAAAATATTATTTTCTAAACAGTATTTTTCTAAATAATTCTTTATATTCATAGTTTCATCTTCTGGATCCATATTTTTAAATTCTTTTACATTATTTTCTAGTTTGTTCATTAAATTAATATATTTCTTTTTTGAGAATTTGTAATTTTGATTTGTTTCATCTTTATAATTCATATTTTTTATATTATTTTTATGATACATCTCATATACATTAATTTTTTTTGGAACAGCGTATAAAGGAATTGGAATTTTTACTTCTTTATATAAAAAATAATAATTTAAATTGTCATCTGAGAAAATTTTTTGTTTGTCAAAATTTAAAACCTTTTCAACGGAAAATGTAATAATTTTATCTTGCATTACGTAAGTTTTTATAACATTCAATATATAAAACATAATATTTTTTATCTCGTCATTTTTCATTATATTATTTTCAAAAATTTGCTTTATTTTTTTAAATGTTTCATATATTTCTTTTTTTTTAACTGTTAAAATTTCTCTTTTTTGTTCTTCGGTAAAGTTTTGCTCTGTGTGTAATTCTGTTTTATTTGTATTTTCTTTTGTTTCATTTTTTTTTCCATAAAGAAAATTAATATCTCTTAAGTAATTACACACATATTTTGAAAAACTATAAAAAAAATACACCTTAAAAATAAAAAAAATAATATTACTATCTATACAATTATATAATGTCAATACTTTCTTAAGATCATTCAAAAATTCATCATCTGCAAAATTTATATCTTTTATGTGATATATTATCTTTTTAATAACATTTTCAAAAATCTCTTTCTTATATATATTGTTCTGAATTGAGCATTTAATCAATTTTACATAGTTTTCGGATATATTATATTTTTGCAAATATTTAAATATAAAATTTGTATAATAATTATTAATGTATGAATTAATGTCAAATTGCTTATTGATATCAAATAATATATGTAATTTATTATCTATATCCTTTAGAATATCTTCGTTAAGTTCATCTTTTTCTTTGTTTATAACATCTATCATTATTCTTTTTTTGATAAAATGAATTAATATTTTTTTATAATAATTTTTATTCAAAGCATCTTTAAAATGCTTTATATAATTATAAAATTCATTACAATTTTCTTTGAAAAATGAAACATATATTAAATTATAATATATTATAAAATCGAATTCACTTTCAACTTTATTGTATTCTATTATATTATTTTCATCAATTCCCATTAAAAGAATTTTTTTAAAATGTATTATATATTTTATGTCTTCTTCATTGTATTTACTTTCACTGTCATTATTATTATTACTATAATACAAATTTTGTTCACAATTCTCGTTATATCCTATATTTACACACAACTGGTTGTTATCCATATGTTTTTCCTTAACATTCATTTTTCCTTGATTATTATAAAAATATATTCTCAAAAATTCTAAAAAAAAATTAGACACATAACTATTTAGGCATAAAAATTCTGAATTCTCATAAATAAAAAATAAAAAAGTATACAAATCCCTAAAGAATAATTCAACATTTTTTTTTTTAACTTCAATATTTTCAATACTAATTAAATTATAAATTTCTTCTAAGTTATTTATCACTTTATATGTAGTATTATAATTAGATAGATTGTTAGATTTTTCACAGTTTTCTTTAAAATAACCACTTTTGCATAATAGTCTATATTTACTTATTAATAAGTTATTTAAATTTTCCTCAAAATTGTCATGTTCAATATCATTCGACTGATTTTTATATTCATTTATATTTTTTAAACTATTTTCATTAATTGAAATACTACCTTGAACGTTTATTAATTTTTGGTTATTTTTGCACTTAAACATATTACATTCATCAGAGCTTTCTATATAACATATATTTGTATTTTCAAAATCATTGTCATTACTTTTTACTGTATAATTTTTAATATTAAAAAGGTATTGATTAAAGGTTAAATTATTAAAAAGAAGTGGATATGATAATAAGGTATGTAAATTTAATAAATATTTATATGTTAATATATTTTTTAAAATTAATATATGTATTTCATGAATATAATTTTTATGAATATAATTTTTATAATTTTTTAATTTATTATCTGTTTCTTTTTTTTTCTTCATAGTACTAAGATAATCAACTGTTATTTTTTCAATATGTTCATTCAAATTTTTTCTTACTTCTTGTAAAATATATATATTATTGTCATTGAATTCACAATTATTACTAATCATAAATTCATTTGAATTCAACGAATGATTATATTTTAAATATGCGTTAAGCTCTGTTTTTCTTTTATTAAAGTTCCAATAACGTTTACCATTAAACTTTTTTTTCCATAAATTATTTATATCTATATTTTCATTAATAATGTAATTGTAATTTTCATTTAAATATTCATCTTCATTATCATCATAATCATAATTTTCATTTTCATTTGATTTTTCTTCTAGAAATTTTATATCTTTCTTTTTAATTTCTATAGGAACAATATTAGTTTTAATTTTATTTCCAATTCCGTCTTCATAACCCATTTTCTTTAAAATTTTAAAACCCAATCCATATTTTTCAAAAATTTTATCATTTTCTTTTAATTCAGTTAAATTATATTTTTTCAAGTTATCTTTTACAAAGTCGTTTTCTTCATTTTTTTCTTCAAAGTTAAAGTTAAAAGTAAAATGTTTAAAAACTTCATATTCCTCATAATCATCTGATTCATTATCACTAGAATTATTATGTAAATCTGTTCCTTCTGTAAATTTTTTTTTATCATTCAGAAATCCTCCACTTACAAATTTTACAGGTTTTAAGTATTCTTCTTCATTTACATTTTTAAAAATTTTGTTTTTCCTGTCACAGTCATCAAAATAATTTGAATCACTTTTTTTTTTTTTTTTTTTTAATTTTTGTTTTTCACCTATAAATGGTAAATCTTCATTAAAATAATTCATATTACCTAATTTTATAAATTTTTATTTTATATTCATCTTTTTTTAGATTATATTAAAATAAATAATTTTCATATCATTATATTAATGAATATAAATATGTACCTTTCATATATATTTTTTATTTTTCTAATGTACTTAATTATTTCATATATTTTATTATTTACAAAATAATTTTTAATCGTATTTATTTCTAAAAAAAAAAAAAAATAAATAAAATAAATAAAATAAAAACGTTCTTGATCATTGAAAGTTTTTCCTTTTTTTTAATTTTTTTTTAAATTTTTATATAAAAATTAATTTTTATGTTTTTACTAATATTCTGAAACATTTTATTTGTTCAGTTTATTAAAATAATGAAAACAGCTAAAGAAGTATATAAATAAATTGAAATACACATAAAGGAAACAAAAAATATTAAGAGTTATTTTAATTTAATTTTTTGCATTTTTAATGAGATAAAATTAAAATATATAGTAAAGGTTTTTAAATGCAAGTAGAAGAAAAAAAAAAAATGAAATAATATAAAATTATTTAAATTTTTTTAATAAAAGGAAGAATAATCTAAATAAAATATAATAAAAAAATTATCATAGAATTTACTTTGAGAAATAGTAAAATTCTATATTACTTTTGATATAAAGTGATAAAAGAAAGTAGTTACTTAAATATATTTAAAAAATTGTATAGAATACATTTTATTTTAATTTTATGTATTAATTTTGTTTTTATTTTGTTTTTACACTTGAAATAATTAAATTTTATTAATGCCTTATTTAATGAAATAAAAAAAAAACATTAATAAATCTTTGTTTCTTTTATCATAATAAGAATATAATTTCTTAAAAAAAAGTTTCATATTATATTTGTATTTATAATGAAAACCGTTGTAGTTATTTCTCAATTTTTATATAGCATTCTTAGATATTAATGTTTTTTAATTTTTTAAAGTTAAAATATTACTATAAAGGAACAAAATTAAAATACTTCTAACAATGACTTTTATAAATTTACCTCATTTTAATATCTTCATATGCTTAATGCAATGATATTATAATTTAGTGTTTAAAAACTGTTAGAAAAAATAAAAATTAGATTTCTTATTGTATTTTTATATAACATATCCTCTATTTAATTAATTTTGTGTATACCCCTTTTAAGAATATAATTGTTGTAAAATAAAAAAAAAAATATATATGGTTTAAAGAAATTACAATTAACAATAGATAAAATGGAAAAAAAAAAAAAAAAAAAAAAAATAAATAAAATGATAACACATTTTTAACAATATGTCATTTATTTTAAATATAATTAAAAGTTCTAAATTGAGTTAAGATAGAAGTGTTTTACACTTATTATAATAACAGACTTTTCACTTCTAAGCTTATAAAATTAATAGACTTAATAAAAAAAAAGATAATATTTTCATTAAAAAAAAGTATTAGCGAAAAATAAAAATGGTAATAAAAGGTAAATACATAATCTACTTAATTTACAAACATTATGTAAAAAATGTGTTTTTAAAATAGGAAAATCTATTTTATATGAATATCACAAATAAAAAAATGTAGAATATTAAAAAATTTTTTATTTAAAAATCAACAATACAAAGATACCTTTTTAATTAATATAGTACACTGTTATAAATTTTGTTGGAAATCTGAAAAAATATATTTATAAATCTATCATTTTAATTAGAATTATTATTATAACTTTGTGCGTATCTAATTGATAAATTTTTAATTATATCAACATTTATTTCTTTAAAAAGTAAATACTAAAAATTATCACGAAATTTAATTTATGTAACAAGTAAATTATGTAAAATTATTCTAAAGAAAATTTTTTTTTCTAGAAGATTTAAAATAAAAAGGTGATATTATAAATTATAAATCTGATAGAACTTAATCTAAATCTATATAATAAATTCTTTTTATTTGTTATTCAATTTTATTTAGATTATTTATTACATTATAAACTAATAAAATAATCCATATTAAAAGGTTATAATGAAGTAAGTGTTTATTCAAGTTTTTGAGAAAATCATTTTTCACTTATATTTAGCTAATTTTATTTTTTATATATTTACCTAAGTGTATAAAAGAAATACAATAAAAAGTAAAGATAGTTTATGCGTATTAATATAAAAATACAACACAGGTATAAATATACTTATATATACAAACGTTTGTTTATTTATTTTGTATATTTGTTAATGTATATTATTTTACAGAAATTTTAAATAATGAACTTAGTATTTTATAAATCTTTCTACATAAAAATAAATACTAACCATTTGTTTTTTTATACAACTGATAACATTAAAATTATAATATTTTATTAACATTTTTTTTTTCTAAGGAAAATTTTTTAAATGTTTTTATTTTTAAATTCTGTATAAAAATTCTAAATAAAATAAAAAAAAAAAAAGAACAATAAATTGCATATTGTATTATTTGTAATAATAGCATATCCTAATAAAAATTCATTAAATAAGACTTTATAGAATTATATTTTTTTTTTTTACAATAAGAAAAATATGTCTAGAAATTTTTTTTTGGTATTCCCTTTATTATTATTTTAGAAAATATCTATTGTAAAATAATTTAAAATATATCCGTAATTTCAGAATTCTAGAGATGATATATAATTATATTATTTAAATTAAATTGTAAGACTATTATTTTTTTTTAATCTTAAATTAAGATGGTTATTTTTTTTAATTTTACTTGATTCTTTAAAATATACAATTTATGTTCACTAAATAATTATATGAAAAAGATTGAAAATTTTGTGTTTGTCTATCGTTTGAATTTTTTATAAAAAATATTTGATATAGTTAACAAATTTATTTTAATATATAAATACAAGAAAAATAATACTATAATAGAAAAATAAACAGAAATATCTTATCAGAATAAAATAAAACTTTTTACATGATTTTTATTTCATCCTTTTTTTATTTTTTTTAGTGAAAATAATCATCAAAAAAAAAAAAAAAAATAATATATATATATATATATTATATTAGTATTAAATTGTATAAAAAAAATCTAAATAATTATTTAATCAAATTAGAGGTATAAATACCTTCATATTACAATATAAGCATATGTATTTTATTTACAAATTTAAAAAGTTTTAAAAAAGTTAAATAATATTTATATAAAAAAAAAAAAAAAAAAATAAAATATAGTTCATAATAATAAAATGTTAATATAAAGATTTTATATTTGTATTTCATAGTATAACATACAAAAACATAGTATTTTTTTTTATGAAAAATTCTACAAAAGAATTTATATCAATATATTATTCTTCACCTCAATATATAAACAAAATGAAATAATTTGGATATAAAAATAATATATACATTAATAATATATTAAATTTAATTATATTTAGACTTTTATTAATATTTTTAAATTATAGTCACATATGCATATACTTGGTTTTGAAACAGCATATATTACATAAAAAAAAAAATTTATAAATTAGACACATTTTTCTTCTATTTCATTTGTATTTTCTATAAATAATAAAATAAGTGTGTTAATATGTATTTATAATACTATGATTTCTTTAATTATATTTGAGTTTTATAAGGAGTAATTTAATAGAATGTTGTATATAGTACCTCGTAAAAATTCAGGAAAAAAAAAAGTATCTTATAACTTAATAAACTTCTTATTTTACAAATGGTTTCAATATGGACAAAAATGATAATCATTCTAATAAATTTTTTTTTTTTTTTTTTTTAAATGTGTTTCTCCTATTTGCATTTTTACTAGATTTATTTTTATGAATTTAAGAAATAACAGAATTAGAATTATTTAGAATTATTCTAAGATTCCATATGAATTTATAATATTCAGTATAAATAAACAAATTCTCAAAATACAAGATAAAATCTTCTATTAAAAGATCATATCTATTTATATTAAAATAATATTATTTCTATTCAACATTTATAAAATTTGAAATTTCATTTTATTTTCCTGGAATTTTTAATAGTCCAAATGTAAACAAAATTAAATGAACATTTATTTTTTAATAAAAAAATAATAATTTTAACATTGTAAAAGTTTTTATGTTTGGAATAATTGAATACAGTAATATGATATATTGAAATATAAAAATGATTCAAAATGAAATATAATCCTTCTTTTGATGAAAATAATAATACACTTTTGTGAGATAAAATGTTATCTCATAGGCATATAATAAATTTCAGATATAGAATTTTGATTTTTTCAACAGAGAAATACAGTTTAAAAAATAAAAATATTAACATTTTAAGAAGTTTAATGCTATCATCTCTTATTTTACATCTTTTTTTTTTTTTTATTCTTATACTATGTACCTACGTTGTATGATAAAAAAAAAAAATAATAAAAAATATATTTTAAGAAATTACTTTTATTTATATAAATATATTACATTTAGTATAATTTTCACAAATAGTTTTAGATTGCCTTTCTATAAATATAAAAGAGTTAGAGTAGCATTTTTCATTTAAGATATGTTTGTTTTTATATTGTTAGCTTTTTTTTTTCTTTATGATAAATTTTCTTTATTATTTATGTATTTTTAGATATAAGGAATGATTTATACTTTATATAAAGATTTTTAAACTAAAAAAAAAAATTGATTACCATCTAAATATTTTTTTTATTAATAATTTTTTAATTTTATATATAATAAAATTAGGTAGATTTATTAATGAATTTTATATTTTTCTACAATGACATTTAAATTTTATTATGCTGTATCATTTATAACACTATAATTTCTTATTTTTACATTTATCAATACTAATAGTATTTATTTTTCGTGGATATCAAATTTAACATAAATCTTCAAAATACATTCTATTTTGTAGATTTATATAATAATAAAGTAAGCAAAGTACATTATAAAATAATTTCATAAGTGTTCATTGTTTCATTTAGAAATAAGAGGATTATACAATATAAAAAGTGAAGATTTATTAAAAAAATGCA